CATAAAAAAAAATTATTTTGAGTATTCCAGATTCAGACAATTAGAAAAATAACTATGGTATGTGCAGCAACTATTTCTTCATAACAGGACACAATTTTAAATAAAAATACTCTCTCCTCGCAACAAGAACACGACTTTCACTAGGACTGTACGTGAGAGTTTGATTATATCTATATTGATGTAATTTTTAAATGTAGTACTATAAAACTGGAGTTCTTAAAAATATTAGTGTTTCAATAAAGGGAAGCACTTTTAATATATAAAAACATATTACAGTTTATATCAGCAAAATGTGTGAAAATTTTGAGCTCTGTACATGAATCATTTTGATGCAATGAGTTGCGTATGACTAATGAGCACGATCCGAACACTTTTCCTGTGCAGTACTTCCCAGAAAAAAAAAGATGTTCACTTTTTTTTTACAATGACGTATGAATACTTCGATTACTAATTACTAGCACAAACAGCCGCCGGCAGGACGATGTTTCTGCTAGTGTTAGATAATGATAATTAATGGCGTGAACGTTGTTCGATGTAATCTGTGTAACTCTAAAACGTTGAGTTTTTCATTAAAAGCTTTTTCTTTTCCTCGATAGATGGCAATATGAGTCAAAAGTGACTAAAGAATCTGTGTGGCGTTATCACCCAAGGTCGTAGTCCTGAGGTTGCTCAATCCCTGGAATGTAATGTGTGACACTGTTGCTTTACCATGCGAGGTGCACGATACAGTACGTGTACATTATGGTTAATGCACATATTGTACACTTGAAACCACGTTAGTTCATTCTCTGAAACCTCCCAATTCTTAGCATTTCTCAAGATATTTTAGTTGATGTTTCTTCATCCATCATTCTCTCAGATCATGTTTAAAGACACTCACTTCACAGTTCTCGAATTCACGCCTAGTTACAGAAGTACTTCGTCAGATATTCTAACTGCCAGTTTATAGTTGTATGAATTTCTAATGAACTAAAGTGATGTTCCAAGAAACCATAACTAAGGGATGCACATTTAGTAAAAGCAGTTTTATTGTTGTAAAAACAAAAATAGGATTAGTTAAAATACATTTTTGAAAGTTATTATATAGTGCTAAACTGTGTATCTTTGAAGAGCCCTAAAATGTTAAAGCAGTTTTTATTTTGTACAAAATATCCTTAAAAAGTTAAAAACGTTACAAACTATTGCTTGTGTTTCTCGCTAGTCTAACTCGGAAGGTTGTGTCATTGGCTCGAACGTACATGACGTCAGCGTCAAAATAACTGGTTCCTTGTTACGTAGTGCGTGGCTCTTTGTACGGAAAGTAGTTAATGAATCATTTTTATGATACGTTATATAATAAAAAAAATAATATCTGCAAACAGTGTGAATACATAGTAAAAAATAAACATTTAAAATAGTTTGATTAAACGCCATTTCTTTAAACTCGCAGCTAAAGTTTGCCGTACAGTCAAAATTGTCTAATAACCAAATGTTGAAATTATTAGATAATTGAAACTTTTGCAAACGAAAAAGTACAAATAGGCATTTGTATAGCAGAGACGGCTGGTATGGGTATTAACAACTTTAATTAAAATATCGTACCTGTTCACACTCTCGTCTATAAGACATGTACCCAGTAACGGTCAGTTTCAAACTGTCTTTGTTAACCTGAAGATGACCTAAGAAAGTCGAAACTTTGTTCTTGTACATTATTTTAATTAAAGTTTTTAATACCCA